CTGGGTTGTCTAGCGCAACCCAGCGCACAGCTCATGTCAGGACGTCCGCAGCCATGAGCCGAAGAAAACATGGGGTTTTCCGAAAAACGGGACCCTCATCTAGTACCCTAAATACATGTTCATGGTTGGGATAAGAATCAAGGTGTATATTTTTATTCCTTATTGGGCTTAAGCCCATAAAAAAAGTAAAATGCTACCCAACTATGACAAAGAATAGTAGGATCCTTATTATGAGGATCCCAAACTAAGGTGCAGCCAGGTATCGAGAGGACCGGAGATCGATGTTGACACTGACCTGTCACCTCGGCTGCAAGGTGAAATCTAGACCTGTGAGCAAGGATCGCCGATTACACCCGGCTGGACGACGCAGTAGGCTTGCCAAAGTAAGGCTGCAGCATCGTTCTTTCCGTAAGTCTAGCATGTCATGAACTGATGGCTCCATCACGTGATCCCTGGCCATTTTCTCGTCTGATCAACGGACTCCATTCTGAGCTCAATTCTGCGCTCACGTAATCTCGAACCTTGAACCCCCAAGTTCCGCAGCTTCAGCCTTAAGTTCCCAAACCCTTCACTCCCGACCACCCCACAAAGCCCCAAATGCCAACTAACCCTCCAAAGCTAAGCCCTCGCTTAACCTTTTGGCCGAAAGCCAAGAAGCCGGTTGACCGGCCAGAAACGCCTGGAGGAGCATTTTGTGTACTGGGGTTCCCTCCTACAACGGTAAAGCCTCTCTTTTTCTCTCTCTCTCTCTCTCTCTCTCTCTCTCTCTCTCCCTCTCCCTCCCAGGCATTCGAAACGTCAAGCCCGGCTGTGAAGCCTAAACCCTAAAGCCTAAAACTCCGAGGCGAGAGTTTAGGCTTCGGGAGCTTCTACGTTTTTCTTTGTGAGCTCCTTTTTCCGCAGGTCTGCCCGAGACAACGGAATCCGCTTCGTGAAAGAAGATCGGTAGGTTTCGGGCCTAGGGTTCCAGCATGAGAAGAAAGAAGAGCCGACCATCAATCAGACGACCCTTCATGCTCACATTCCCAAGGGGCATTAGTTGAGTTTGACCCCGAGTTTGCCGCCCCTCCCCCAGCTACAATTCCGTACACCTCAGACCGTAGGGGCCTCTACACCCGAAACATCCCGAAACCCTAAAAGCCCCAAACCCTGAAGCCCGGAATGGTCAGCTAGTTCTCGTCACTGTTGCTGCTGCCAATTCGCTTCAGCACATCCGTAACCTTCTGCGAATAAAGCCCGAGAAATCGCAACGGCGATGTAGCATACTCACAGCAGCGAATCTCAAGGAACGGTAACTATCGTTATTATTACTACTACTACTACTACTATTATTATTATTGTTACTATTATTACTATTGCTATTATTGTCATTACTATTATTATTTTCCGGCTTCTGTATATACTGTCACATGGCCTCCAGCTCTTTCTTGACCTTCCTTACCTCCGGACCTTGGAGACCACCTGCGGCGTCTGAGTCGGGAATCACAAACTCCAGGAGGTCTTGTGAACATGGAAACGAAGCCTTTTCCAGGTTTCTGGCCTGTTGGGTTAATGTAACTTGTTGAATGACAACCCGTGTCATCCGGTGCGGTATCTTCGAGTTCAGGACATTTTGCGGGGCCGTCAAAAAAACCTGTTCACTCCGGATGTAGTGTGGCTTCTACTCTGTGCAGTGGTGAACAAAGCTAGCGCATGTTGAGTTATCACGCGTTCCCGTTAGCCTGCCACATGGGTTTGCGGCTGATTTGGTTCTGAAAACTCCTATGCCGGCACAGACTGCTTAATCGCAAGTTGCACAATTTCCTCCGAACCTTCTAAAAGCAGCGACAGTGACGTAGGCACAGGCACAGACATCAGCGGTGCAATCTTTGCAGAGTCCCGCGCTTTGGAGCTTGTCGGTGACGGCTGCTTGCAGGCCGCTCGATGCACCTCTGCAGGACAAGAAGAAACAACCTGTGCAAGTTGCACTCGTTTCTGTTCGCAGTTTTCGAACCAAAGTCCACCAGCTGGAAATGATGCGTCAGCGCTAGTGTGCTGACTATCATTGCTAGTGGCTGCTGCAGTTGATTTTGCAGCTGTTCTGTTGTTGCGGCTATCAGATTCTGTGATTCCTAATTGATAGTACTTCGGTATGACCACCATGAAGATTGATTGCAGGACTCTTGGAGACAGAGCGGGAGGGCTTAGTCAAGCGACGTGACAGGCATGGTCTTCCCTGCGCTGCTCAAGCTGCACGGTATCAGTCTTGATTTTTTTTGGCTCCCGCATGGCGAGTCTCGCGACTGCATGGCAGGTGACAAACGTTCCGGGGGTTTGGAGACTACTGTTCTTACAGTTTCAGCAGTGTCTCCATCACTAGCGGCCCAGCCTCTGCAATTGTATGACACCAGAACTCAAAACCCCATACCAAGTAATCGGATCGAAATACGATCAAAACCCTTGCAGCGACCGGGCTAGGCAAAACAGGGACAGTCCAATGAAAAGGCTACAGCCTGCAAGTGGAAGGACAGCACAGTTCAGAATAGCAGGCTCTACCAGGACTGCAGCGAACGACGGGCCTGAGATATGACAACGCCGATACAACACTAAGTTAGAGCCACAGAGTACTTGCAGGTCCGTCCTACGTATACAGAAGGTCGACTATGCTGAGACAAAAACCGCCGATACAACACTACCTTCAAGCCACAGAATACATCGACCTCCTAGCTACAGTGATGCTGCCCCGTAGCATCCAACCATATTTCTTGTTTCGAGGTCTTTCTGCTTTCTTGTATGATCAGGCTGCCGGATCAGAAACCGACGAGGTGGTCGTAGCGAGGCTCGCTCAGGTGCTCCCCATGGAGGCACATGTATGGAGCCACATGTAGGTCGCAGATACACCAAATCAGAACAGTCTGTAGCTGCACCAAACTGCATGTCCGACGAGTGAGGTCAGGTGGCGTGCAGGGTCCAAGTGGTGTCGTGTCGACTGCATCTTTGTTCGTAGCCCAAGACATCGTGAAAGAGAGGCTCCCACTTTTGTCTCATCAGAAGGCGCAGTCGTGTTGCCCAGGCAGGGCATGTTTGCCTTGGTACCCTCGCTATCCATGTCCCATGTGCCACAACGTGCTGGACTTACTCAGGTCGTATGGTGGATCGTAGAGCCGAAAATTTTGGCCCCCAAAGCTTTGCAGAGATGGCAGGCGCCTCGTGGTTCGAGTGTCAGCTGGCAGATGGTTCCAGAGAGGCAAAGGAATCTGTTGCCACGATCAGAAGAAAGGCACAGTGCCAGCTGATGGCTCGACTTGCACTTCCATGTCAGCGCGAAGCACCAGTCACAGGTCTTCCATAGCTTCGGCAAGGGCGCGGGTTAGTGGTTTGCCTTAGAAAAAACGACGAACGACAAAGGTGAGGAATGACTATGAATGGCAGGGGCCACGAGACCACGACGTCACGCAGAAAGGAAGGACAGTCAGTGCCAGTGCAGAGAGTGAAACAAGGCAAGGCAGGGTGAGAGGAGACAGAGAGTGAGGGAGAAGGCAGTGCAGGAAGGCAGTGGCAAGGCAGGCAAGGCAGTGCAGGCAGGCAGAGCAATAAGTTGCGACCAAGTTGCAATAGTCGCGTGTTGCACGCGTTTTGATGCAGACAAGGCGCCGAGAGGCACTACTGCTGCCGAGTGGCCAAGCATCACCTTAAACCTGTTGCCTACCCTCTTCTAGTGGGTCTTGCTGCGAAACCACGATGACATCATGTTTGTCGCGTTCAATTAAAGAGAGAGCAAGGGCCTCTTTCATGGTAAGTTGTTTCAGGCGTTTGGCTTGGCAGTGGGTGCAGCCAAGGGTGGCAGATTTTATCATGGCTAAGCTAGGCATCCGGAACCCTAAATCACGCAACTCTTCATCTACCCACCAGGACAATGTGCTCGCATACAAGGTCGAGAATGCCACTAGGATAAAGCGATTAGACGACTCACTAGTGACATGTCCAGCGTGTAACAGTTGTCTGGAGTCAAAGATGTGAGGTGCCCGAATGCTGAAGACCGTGCCCATCAGTTCCATCCCTTTAAAAAGCTTGGGAACCGAGCCTGCCCTGTCCTGAATCCAGATGCCTTCGTCATCCCTTGTGTCACTGAGGGCGACAACCGCAGCTTGGGTGGGCCCATTACGAAGGTCTCGATGAACCACATCATAACAACCCTGCCTAATCACAAAGGTCGTATAGTGGTGATTTGGACACACATGTGCTAGATACTTCGTAACGACAAGGCAGAACAGCGGGAAACGCTTGGTGAACTGCAGTACATCATGCCTAGTGCGAGGGGAAGCTCCGGCTACTATGTATGTCCCATGTGCACTCGTCTTAAGGGCCCCTGCAGGCAGCAATCGAAAGAGTTTCAGAATGTGGGACTTGCATGGGGGGGTGGGGTTTTTCAGGATACGCAGGGCCCTGCTTTCGATCATGCCATCTTGTCCTGACGGAATCTCATAGGCCTGCATCCACCTTGGTTCCGCATCTCTGTTCCTGGGCAATTCGTCCTCGTCAGAGCTCGCATCGACAGTTGTGGCCAGAGCAAGAGACAAGGGTTCAGAGGCCACAGGCTCGTCTGGGCTCAGGGACAGCACATGTACAGGCGGGGGAGCGAGGGGTGTCGGGAACATGTCTGCGCTCTACAAAGTGAATCTGGGAGCCCGCAAGACTCAATGTACACACGTCGCTTCGGCTCAGTACTTCACTAGCACTCACAAAATCGCAGCAACCAGAACTTGCAAAGGACGACCCAATTTTTTTGATGCAGTGCATGCAGGTCAAGGGTAAGGCAGCGACAGTTCGGGGCGGTGCAAGGAAAAGTGCAGGCAGTACGAAGGCTGTACACAGTGCGAAGAGCAAACAAATCAAAATGTCTCGACTCAGGGATACCGATGATCCAACTTCAGGGCTCACAGTACGTAGGTTGTTTGATCCAACTTCAGGGCTCACAGTACGTAGGTTATCTGAGAAAGCTTCACGGCAGAGAGCTCGCCTCAGTTGGATCCATCAGAGTGCCCTGCAAGCATGCGCAAAAGATGCTGGGGATTTCCCACCATCACGGTCGGAGGCGTGTTCCACGAAGGTGCGGAGCCACCCGTCAAGTGCACCAGGTTCGGTGTGTGCTGGGGGGGCGGTGGCACCACCTGAGTCACAACAGCCGGTGGATTGTGTGGTGGCGGCGGCAGTGGGCTCGCCAACTGCTGCTTGATGCCTTCAAGCGCTCCATCCAGTGTTCCCAGCTGGTCCTTGATGGCCTCCAGAGCTTTCTGGCTCTCCGCGACACCCTCCAGGAGCTCGCGCTCGGAAGGGGACGGTCCCGCCACCCGAACTGCCGCGAGCGTCTTCTCACCGATCTCGAGGCCCTGCTCGGCTGCTGCCTTCGCCTCCTGGGCAGCTGCCATCGCACTTCGGCCGATCCCACTGAGTCCTGCAAAGCCGTTGTGGACTTTGCTCGAGAGCGTTGCCAGCTCCTTCAGGACCTCCATAAAACGGCGGCCAGCTTCAGCAGCTGCGTCCTTGTTGGCCTGGCGATGTTCTTTGTGACTGGCCCCCAGTGCCTGTACGTCTCTGGTGATGCCCCGAAGCTGGTCTTGCGTGCCATCTGTCGAAGTTTCCATGTAAGCGTGTCGCCGACCACCGAGATCACCGAGCTCATCCAGTTTGGCGACAATTTTATCTTGGATTTTGATCATGCCCTGAATAGACGACTTCAGGGAGTCCACTTCCGCCTGGAGGTAGTCGAAGTCGGGTGTGCTTGTTGTAGGCGGCGTTGGCGTAGTTGTCGCATGGAGGGAGCGGAGGTTCTGCTCAAAGAGGGTTTGGATTTGCTCCTGCAGCTCTCCACTCATCCAGGACTTCATGGACTCCATTGCTGAGGCAAGGTCTCCCGGGGGAGCAGGGACTGCGGTTGCAGTCGCAACACCACCATGAGCTCCATCTGCCATGGTGGGCGCGGTAGGAGTCAGAGGCGTAGGTGTCGTAGTCGGTGGCACTGGTTTCCCTCCGGTCGCATCAGCAGCCACGTCACTCATGATGTCTGGCAGCAGTGCCTCGAAAGGGTCTGGGAGTCCAGGCGGTGCAGCAGAGCGACTCTCTGACTTGCGGTCCGTAGGCTCCATAGCATCTGTCCTTTGCTTCGTAGGAGCACTTGTGGAGGACACCGGCTGCATCGCTTCTGAATGCACTGTGTGGGCACTTTTACTCTGAGATTGCAGAACCCACATGATGATCATCCCAGCTAGGCCCGCCAAGAGCCCAACCACGAAGCCAAAGACTGAGAGCATGTCCGTCATGGCGGCGCAGGGTAGGGGAAAACACAAAAGTTCACGGTGCTTTCGCCAAAAGTTGCTGCATCACAAGACTGACTGAGAAGAGGTAGACGGCATTTACATGACCGCCCCGCCCCCCCCCCCCCCAAACTGCACAACAACTGCTGCAAAGAGAAATAAATGAAAAAGACGTGGCACTTTCAGTGCTATCATCAAAGAAGAACTAAGACAGCCAGGGCAGGAACACACTCGTGCGCATTGGTGCAACAGCAGCTTGCGACATGTTGTGTTTGTGATACACGACGCAGGAATGACTCAACTTGCATGCTTTTTTAGCGAAATGATCGGCAATTTCGTTCAGCAAGAATCCCGAATCCCTTATGTGCTCGGACATGGCATGCGTGTACATAACAGGACAGCTGACTCCACCTGCATAAGAGATCATTGGTGGCGGACGCATGATGCGTACCAATGAAGTCACCATTCATGACTTGAAGCACATATTGTGAATCCGTGCAGAACTGGACTGGCAGCAAAGGCCAGCGGCGCCTGACTTCCTGGATCATCTTGAGGGCATGAGTCGCAGCCCGAATTTCCGCCTCAATGTTACTACATGGTCCTGGTATGCGGAAGTAGCTGACGATAGCATCCTCGATTGCCCCGTAGGGAGGCAGGAGAACGACAGCACCCCCCCAGCGCCAGGCACCTTAGTCTGCGAAGCACTTCCGTCAGAGAAGACTCGGAGTAGATGCTCGGACTGACCTGGGTCAGTGATCCTTGCTTCAGGTTCAAGATCAACACACAAGTAGGAGGATGGATGAGCCGTCTCGACAGGCACGTGCCTAATCGGTAGCAGCGAAAACACGTCACCATTCTGCAAGAGCATACGCCCTCTCAAATCGAGGTGCGTGAGCGGTACTGTGTAGTACTGAGTCAGGTTGCAGCCATGTGCCTGGAGCCAAAAACTGACAAAGTCCTTCCAGCGTCCTCGGTCTTGTGCTCCTTCTGTCCATGCAGGGATCGATCCAACATGACCTACATGCTGCAAGAAACCCTCCCATTCAAGCTGGATGAATCTACTAGAATCAGGAGCTCTTCCTGGTCTGGCCCGGCGAATACGAGCCTGGTTGGTTAACAACCATGTGGGACCTCGCACTTGGATCATTAGGCGAAGTGGTATGCGTTCCGTGCGGCCATAGCGCGCAGCATGTCGCCAATAGGACCAGAAAGACTGCGCTTGTACTGCTTCCCATTTTTTGTGCTGCACACACTGCGCGGCTGCGCGGCTTGCTCGCCGTCGAGAGAGCCATGCATCCACCGAGCCCTGGAACGGATCTCGTGTAAAGCTCAATATGACTGAGAGAAACGTGGTGTGAGCTCGCTTCAGAAACGCCCGAACAGTCTGCAACGGACGGACAGCAGGGGACATCCATCTCCACCTCGAGGTGATGAAACAATCAAACACTCGCAGTCTCTGTGTGAGGCCGACCCCAGCCTGCCTAAGGACTCGAAAGTATCCCCAAAAAGCATTGCTGACCTTGGTCATACGTGCTGCAAGAACCGAAACGCACGAGAGGTGGAAGCCCAGGAGGATTCCTAGAAAGACCATAGTCTCAACGGCTTCTATCCCACTGCCGCTCTGAAGGCGAAAAGGACTGTCGTGGGTTCCTGGAGAATGCAGAAACTTACACTTTTTTGCATTAAAGTGCAAGCCGATTGCCCTCATGGTGTCTTCCGTGTCGCGGAGCAGCCTCTGGGTTTGTTCACGGGAGGTACCTAATAGGACCAAGTCATCTGCAAAGAGAGTAAGGAAAAGCTTCAGCCCAAGCTCGTCAGCAAGCCAGGAACTTTCTGTATCCTGCCACCTGTCCTGGGTGGGTGTGAGGAAAAAATCAACACACCTGGCGAATAATTCAGCAGAATAACTACTGCCCTGTAAGATGCCTTTGGAAAGACATTGTTCCCATTGGGAGCCTTGTATGCTAAGGTCGACGGATGTTTCAGTGATCACCTGTAGCAAAAGTTCAGCTTCGCGGGAGCCTACAGCAGACGCTAAGAAGGCGGCCACCGCTTCATGGGATATGGAGTCGAACGCTGCCGTAATATCAAGTTTTACCACGTACAACGTTTTGTCGTACTGCTGTGCCAAGCGAATTGCATGTTGGACGGCACAAGCGGAATCAAGTGCCTGTCGTCCCGGCAGGCCTCCCACTTGGAAAGCTTGGATCTTAGGCAGCTTCGGTCTGAGGCGTATCATGAGAGCCTTGGTGAACACTTTAGCTACAGTGGGGGACAAGACGATGGGGCGGAGGTCTTTGGGACACTCAGGAGCCGCTGTTTTGGGCAGAAAAATGACGTGGTTGGAGAGCCATGATCGAGGGACGGGTCGTACGCCCCACAAAACGTCATTGAAAAGCTCAAGAAGGTGCTCGGACAAACTAGTCTGCAGGATCAGCTGAATAGCCTCATAGCTGATCCCATCAGCTCCCGTGCTCTTGTTATGTTTGCACTGAAATGCCACCTCTTGAATCTCCGTGAGAGTGAAAGGTGTAGGAGCCAAGATCGGCCCCGCTCGTCCTCTGAAAATGGCCAGGGACAAACCTCTCGGGACGTGATCATCCTGGGTGTACTTCAAACGGTAGAACATGCGGAGATCAGAGATGGCTTTCACGGACCCTCCCGCCCGCATACAGTACGAACCATGAGTATAGGCTGAGGAGTTGCGCTTCTTGAGGTATGTGAGAGCTCGAAAGTCCCCACTAGCCCCCTTAGCTAGTAAGTCGCTGAGCCACTGCTTCTTGGCCACCTTTCTTTCGTCGGCGATGCGTTTCGCAAGCTGTCGAGCAGCCTGGCCTTGCAGATTCCTGCGCTGACGAGCGAGTTGCTTGAGTTCAGGAGAGTCCTGGTAGCGACAACTCGTTATGCGCTTGGAGGTCTGTTGGCAAAGCGTCGCTAGGTGGCACATGGACAGGTCTCGCATGTTCAAATCCAGATCCTCAGCGAGCTGTTCACATTTAGTGGCCAGTGCAGGAGCATCCGTCCACCATTTGCCGCAGCGGGAATTACAGAATTTCCGCCTGCCTGACTTGCCCACCGTCTCAAGTGTGAGCGTGATCACACTGTGATCTGAGCCCACGACTTCCTCACTCCCGACATGTACTCTGTCATCACGAACTGACATGGAAGGAAGCGAGAAAAGAAAGAAATCAATACGAGAAGAAGCTCCTCTCGTGTTTCGCCAAGTAGCCGAGAGAGGTTTGCTGTGTGAGAGCCCAAGTTCTCTGAGGAGCCGGCCAAAGGGAATGCCCCTCTCGTCTACTTTTGCGATATCGAGAATGTCGTAGTTCAAATCGGAACACAGACACACTAGGTCATGATACCGATGAGTAGCACAGAAATCGAGGATCTCCTCCACTTGAGTTTGCCAAACGGGCAAACCATCTTTGCGCAAATCATGTGGCATGTGAACGGTCATAAAGAACTGTCGCGTGCCTTGAAACTTCAGAACCAAACCCAGACCCGTACAAAAAGCGCTCTTAGACTCAACCCTGCCGACCCATTCAGTGGGAATACCAACAGCACTCCCACGGAACGAGTGAGAAGGATCCGCAAAAAAGAAAGTGAAACTACGTCCTGCGAGAAAAACTTCGTGGTGCAAAACCGAGTCGGAACTCGGGCATTTCTCGGGTAGACCCCCAAGCTCTTGCAGAGCTATCACATCGGTGCCTGACAGGTCAGTGATGTCCCATACGCGAGCCAAGTCTTCAAGGGACTTCCCCCTCAAATTCCAAGACGCCATATGTATGCGACCTGTCGGCACCCGAGAGGGTCAAAAGGCCCCTCCCGCACCCAGCGGTGTGGACGCTGGGCCAAAGTCGAGCCAGGCTTGCTGGAGGGTTTCTTTCGCTCGCCCTGTCACGGTTTCGAAAGCCTGCGAGCTCAGAAACCAGACAGTATGATTGCCCTTATTGTCTTCAATTATCTGGTCTGTAGGCAGCGGTTCCTGTCCATCGTCCATGCAGCGAAGAAGCTTGGTTTGGCCTACAAACACTTGACCTCTCCATACGATCTCGGGAGGGGAAATAGGCGGTCGCCCGGCCAAAGGGGGAAGCTTGTTGTAGAAGTTCTTGGTCAATACGATGGCTCGGATCTTCAGTCGTTCTTCGATTGGCCTATCTTTCTGGATCCACAGCTCAGCTTTATCCTGACCCTCAATCCCGCTAGTACACTTCATGGCTTTCAACTTGTCCAAAAGTTCTTTCTGAATCTGGCGTTTGCGAGAGAGAGTGGCATTCTCTGGGAAGGCCAGGGTAACTCTCAAGAAGTTGGTTCTCCCAGACGGGCCAGAGAGAGTTTCCAGGAGATCCTCGGACTTGGCTGCTCGGAACATGTTGCGAACCTCTTCCTCGGCTTCCGGGCTTCTTGCGTCTGTCCAACCTCCAACCACTAGGCCCAGATCCTGAAGGGGGTCGCGATTGGTGTCCTGAAAGGGTTCACGGCTTCCCCGCGGACTGCGTGGACTATGGCCACGTCCACGAGGTGTGTCAGGTGCATATCTAACGGGCGTGGGGGACCTGGATTGTTGCTTTTCAAGATCTGCCACTACCTTCTCTAATGCCTGTAGTCGAACCAAAGTGCTCTCATGCTGATCAGTAGTTTCCTTTTGGCAGGCTTCAAGGTGATCAAGGCGTGTAGCATGTTGTTGGACTGTAGCCCCCATTTCAACACAATACCCGTGTGTCTGGTCACTCTTGGCGTGTAGCCCCTGAAGAGACTTGAGCAAATCCTGAACCCACTCAGGCTGATCTATATTATTAGGGCGAGCCAAAGTAGGGAAAGCGCCGACGGGTGGACCCGTCGAAAGTGGTGCTCCCGCGGTCCTAAGTTCATCATCATCCTTATCAGTGAGAGTGAGATCAAAGATCTCATGCGGCCCAAAGGCAGCACTGTGATCAAGGAGCGGTGGGTTTGGGGCCCCTTCTTCGTCGGGTTGAGTCATGGCTTCATCTTTGGGCTCTAGTTTGATTTTCTTAGGTTCAGGGGCCTTCTTGTCGACGTCACCATCCGAGCTCTCCTGACGATCTTGACCTCTATTGGGCCCAATAGGCTGTTCGAGAGCATTATGGTGGCTTCCCACCGGAGGCAAGGGGGTGCTCTTACTCAAAGACACAAGTGCCACAGGTTTGGGAGCTTCAGAGTGTTGAGCAGGAACCGCTGGATTTGCTTCAGCTGCGACGGAATAGGGGTTAACTGCGGGGACGGATGGCGCATTCTGGGGCTCCCTAACTTTGTTTGCTCTTGCCCTTTCTCGCGCACGGCCTCTCTCTGTTTCTTTCTGCATGACTCCAAGCAGCAAGGGCAAGGCAGGCAGTACAAGGGCAAGTGCAGGCAGTACAAAAAAGGCAAGTCAGTCAGTGCAAACAAGGAAAAGCAGTGCAGAGGGAGGAGAAAAGAGAGAGAGAAGAGAGGGTGAAGAGGAGAGGGAGTCACCCAAATGTAAGGACCTTGCTGCTTGTGAAAATTGTGTTTCGAGCCGATACGCTTGAGCAGTAGCCAAAGCAAGACTGATTACTTAAGATAATAAGTCAAGCCCCAACAAGGGGCGATTGTTAGAACTACCATGATTGAAGAATCTTGTGCTTCGTGAGGCGGAATTGTCACCGTCTTAGCATCACAGTCAACCCGGGAAGCCTTTGAAGCCTGCGAAGCTCAAATCGAACCCCTCTGCACCACCTTTATCGCTTTTCTGTTGAGACTGCCTGCCTTTATGAAGCCAGTTCGTCAGCTGGGCTTCAACCGCCGCCTCCTCTGCTCAGTGCAGAGCGGAAGGTTCGGGGTCTACAACTTCCACCGACCAGGTTTTGGGGTCTACGAAGGCCTGTAAGAGTTGGATTAGCATTTCCGGAGATTCCTCATACTGCCTACCCATGCTCGAAAAGATTCACGCAACGCTTCCCACGACTTTAAAGCAAGAACCAGGAACGCACAACCCAAGTTCATCTACTGCAGCACTTTCCCGTACTCCACGAGACTTGCGACGTAGCAGGCTTGCATGGCAGCATATAGTCTTGTGTCTGCTTGCTACAATAGCTCTAGTGTTCTGCATTTTTCCTTGCTTTAGGCATCATAATTGGTCAGCATACCACACTGTATGAAAACAAACTCTACGATCCTCCTGCTTGTTAACCAAGTCGTACCGGAGAATAACCGCAGATATCCGTTCCCTCTTCTTTATCTTCATACTACTGCTTTCTGAACGATTCCTGTTGATACTCGTCCGCATATGCGTGGCAGCTACCCCATCTTCCCGTCCCGTCCTCAGTCAGACGCCTCGCCCGGCCTAAACAGGTGGTTTGAGTGCTATCGTACGACGGAGGGGGTCTCGAGTTCTAGGCGGTTTCAGGGTTCAGCATTCAAGGCACCCATATCCTCTTCATCAGAAGTAGGAGTAGTGGAATCTGTGCCAAACCCGACCCGGGAATACCACGTAGAGAAAACTTGACAGAATATCATGCAAGTCTCTGACTGTGAGCCGATCGCCTACCATGCATGATCGGATTTGTGTGCTCACACTCGGACCACTCAGGCGAGGTTTTTGGTACGTGTTCGGTTGATGTGAAACACTTCCGAAAGGTTTCTGGGTCTGGAACAAAACAAGCGAGTATAGGCAAGTGTGAAGTGATCTCCATGATCGGGTTTAGGGTTTCGGAATCGAGCGTCATGTCGGGTTGGCCTATCGGCTTGTGGCCTAGGTCCTGGGGACTCATGTCATAGACGTGCATGGGCATGAGGTGCTGCCTTCGGGACCCTGCTGCTTGCAGATTCTGCAGCAAGGCATGTAAAGATCGCAGTGCTGGTGTCCTTGGCATTGCCGTGTTTGCCGGCTGGTGAATTGAGCCTTTCACGATGGCAATTGAAACCATAAGTCTGTCCACTTTTGGTTGATCAGGGGCCTGAACAATTCAGAATGGATTACTGTGTGATCACAAGCCGGTACCGCGAAGTTCAGCCCGTCAATTTGCAAAGCCCGAAGCCTAAACACAATCTAGGACCCCAAAGTGACACCCCATATTATTGGTGATTTCCGGGATAACAGAACCTTCTTATCTACCAGTAGCGACGAAGGCTTTGCTATGGGACAGCAGGACAGGTTTCGACTACTGCTATCCATATGAGAACACACTTAAAAGTGACAGTCTTCAACTCCTGACTGATTTTGACGGCTCCTGCGCTTGACATGAAGAACGCCGGGTCTCCGGCTACACACAGACGACGAGGCGTCCGACGAGGCGCCGCCACCAGATTTGGCACTGGGAAATGCGGCAGGAACCCAAAGCGCCATACCCTAGACCAGAGCCCCCAAAGACCAAGAGCCCGGAAAGGAGCAACATCCACAAACTCCCAACAGCGATTTGAGGGATGATAAAACTCCCGAGAGCATTTTTTTAAGTAGATGCGTCCGTAAGCTGAGAGCAATCGACTTCCTTGTAGAGCGATAAGAGTAACAACGAACGATAAGAAAGATGTGCTACATCCTACAGTCCCAAAGTCATCCAAACTCATGTAAAGCGATAGATGTAAAAACAAAACGATAACCGTTTTAAGGGTCAAGCAAATGGGTGGGGACCCTCATTTCGAAACAGATCAATTCGGGGTCACGAAGTTAATTAAAGTCAACAGGAATTACGCAGTCGCACTTTAGGATCGTTTGGGCGTCTAGGATCTGGGGTCACATGGCTCAAACTTTGACTGAAGCTTTCGCATGCTTACCTACAAGCTGCGCGAGGTCAAGGATCAACATCTCTGTTTGAGGAAGCCGCTCCTGATTCTGGTTCCCGACTCTCCTACCCTTCACTCCCAGCTCAAATCGAGATGGGACAAGGACAAACCACCAAGGCTCCTCACGAGAAATCCAGCCATACACTGCTGACAGCCGTTGCTAGAGGACACCCTGCTGTCACCAAAGCCTTCATCCCTGAATCGTCTTGACATCTACGAGCCCAAGAAGAAGCTGAGGCAGTCGCAGGCACGCGACGCACTGTCCTGCAAAGACAGCCGGGTTTGCTCGCTCGAATTGCGACTGATGAACGACACATCTAAAGCTTCGCGCAGAAAAAAGTGAGAATCTAGAATATTCCAGCATAGTTGACGGGTTTGCTCGCTCGAATTGCGACTGATGAACGACACATCTAAAGCTTCGCGCAGAAAAAATGAGAATCTAGAATATTCCAGAATAGTTGAGGCTCCTTCATTAGATCTGGAGCTGAAGGACTTGAAACCCGCACAAGCTTCACGAGACTCCCACCTGTTTGACCCCGGAATAACAGTCGAATCGAAGCCCTCAGCGCTTCTGTGCGTATGCACACATACAGGGAAAACTTACATCATCCTCTTCAGAAAAGGTTACTTTCATTGTGCTTGGGTGACGGAGAATTCTTTTTGAATTCTGTTTTACGTGGGGGGAAGGCAAGGGTTGCAAGGTCTTTCCTCTGCGGTTCATGAAGTGAGGTCTGTTAGCTTTTAGTTCAGTGTCCGGGGGCTAAAGCCTAAGTTCTCACCTTCACTGTCAAGTTGAATGCTGAGACCCAACGGCTTACACGCAGTCGCCACTCTCTCACTCGAGTCTAGGTTTGTTGGTGAGTTTCAATAGCAAGCACCATTGAAAACTGAATTCCTGGATCCGAACAGCTGTATCGCACGATCCTTTAGACAGGGGCCCCTGATTTGGGATCCCTGCACGTCCTTGCTGACCATGGACTTCTGCATCCATTTCAAGGCCTGTCAAGCATTGGCTTTGTAACTACTCTGTTCGTATACCACGGTCGCGGTTTCGGTAGATGCTCAGGGTGCAGGGTTCCAGACTCTGAAGCCCAAACTCGGGAAGGAACCAGAAGTCGTTTCACTAAGACCCTGAACCTCAAACATCAGTAGAAGCCTTGTAGTGGCCCTTCCAGAAGCCTGACAGCACCCATTGTAGTCATAGCTTGCTATAGCCATCTTTCTAGAACAGATTCAAGAAGTCCATCTGCCGAGGGCTGCAGCACGCAGTCTGGATCCTCAACCGGGAGTGTTGCCATAGCTCTGTGCTACGATCGAGTTGCGGTAGACCTCGCTTGTAATCCACGCACACTTACAGGCACAAGTGTAGCCCTTCGTCAGGGGTCGAAATGATGATTGGTAAATGTCACCGAAACCTTTCTCCAGACTCGGAGTCCACGTCCTTCTAGGCTTAATTACCATGTGTGAACACTAACACAAGTTAAGTCCTGAATGCTAAACCATCACCCCTGAGCCGCAAGTTCTGAGACTCAGCCAAACAAACTACGGTGTTTCAGAGTGGTGCTTTTCCCAAGCCGGAATCAGTACAAATACTATTCCTCCGAGTTCCTCCACACCTTTTCTATGGATGCCCGCCCACGAGCTGCCTCTAAATCCCTAAATTAGAAGAAACGGTCGACCTCACTTTCCTCACCTACCAATTCCGAAGCGCTATGAGGCGGAAAGTCGTTTCTACCAACCTGACAACCAAAACAGCGCAAAGCGTTTTGGCAACCAACCTGACCTCTGAACCAAACTTGGGAATTCAACCACCTACTTGTCGGCGTATCATGGGGAACTAAAGGTTAACCTTTTTGGATTTATAGGGATCATGTACGGACTAGTGCTTCTCAAAAAAGGTTAAAGGTTACCTACTCTACTACACCAAAAGCCCCAAGCCTGCCACTGTCTCTCCGATTCCCGGCCTCTCATCTGAAACCGTGCTGCTGATCGACCCTGGCGATGTCTCTGTGCTCTTTTTGAGGCGTAAAGAATAGGTACCCCTGTAATGCGTGTCTCTGTTACCTCGCTGATTGGACCTAACGAATAGGAGCACCCTGTGTCGCAGTGACAACTGAAGTTGGAAAAGGTCATATCGCTAGGGCCAGGGGGGCTTAGGGGGTTGGATGGCTTTGGAGTTATATACAAAGGCCGTTGGATGCTTAGGTGTTTTGGGTTCAGCAGATAAGGGCTGGTTTTTTAGGGCTTACAGACAATTTATTACAGGATTGTAGCTTCCTTGGCCTTCTGCATAGCCGAGTAACAAAGCAGGGTAAGAAAGGACACAGGTGAATTACCGTGTGGATCGGGAAAGCGAGCAAAAGAGCAGCTGTGTCCGACAACGCCATCGTTCGTTGGATGGGCTTGTACTACAGATATACGTAGCAGCTTAGTATAGCAATATAGGTCACGATATGATGGCCTTACAAACAGGTGGGTCTCGATTGGTATCATGCCTGTCATCTACAACAGCGTTGACGTGGAATTGAGGTACGCCGGCAAACGACATAATTGGAGCACCTT